TACAGTGTGTCTGGGTACTATATAGGGGTACAGTGTGTCTGGGTACTATATAGGGGTACAGTGTGTCTGGGTACTATATATAGGGGTACAGTGTGTCAGATACAGCGTGTAATGTTACATATTAACAGAGTACTCTGTCAGGGCACAGGATATCAGGATACGTTTTGTTTGAATAGAATGTATCTGTGTACACTATATCGGGGTACAGTGTACAGTATATCGGGGCACAGTGTACACTATATCGGGGCACAGTGTACAGTATATCGGGGCACAGTGTACACTATATCGGGGCACAGTGTACAGTATATCGGGGTACAGTGTACAGTATATCGGGTACAGTATATCGGGGCACAGTGTACAGTATATCGGGGCACAGTGTACAGTATATCGGGGTACAGTGTACAGTATATCGGGGTACAGTATATCGGGGTACAGTATATCAGGGTACAGTGTACAGTATATCGGGGCACAGTGTACAGTATATCGGGGTACAGTATAATGGGGCAGAGTGTGTATTAAAGGATACAGAATGTACCTTCATTTGTAGCAGGATTCTCAGAAACACAGTGAGGATTATATCACTTATATTCCACATCTAGGTTGCTGATTTATGTTGATACCGTCCTGTTTTCTGACACTTAAAGCTAACAATACAGCTGTGTTAACTGGAGCAATGAAGAGAAGCTGGCTTGATTAGCGACCATCACCATGTAGCTCAGTACTAACTATATCCAGCTCTGACTACAGTAAACTGTCTGCATTAGGTCTTCTGGGTCCAATATTGGCCAAGTATGATTGAAAACTCTACATTGTATAAACAGTGGAAGTTGTACAATAGAAACAGTGTAATTGTAAGAATGGAGTAGAAATTGTTTATAGTGATGTGTTGGTGCCATTCAGCAAGAGAAATGTTGATAAAAATCAATAGAGTCAGATGATATTGGCTTCTTGAGGCCATTGAATAAAAAAACTGAATGACCTTGACTCCGAGTGTCTGGACTTTAAGCAGATATTAAAAATGGCTGAAAAAATTTGAAGTATATGGGCAAGGTTATAGTAATATTGATTAAAGTTAAGAATTTTCAGAAGAAAAAATATATATTTGGAAATTGAGCTTGAGATCAATTTTGTCTGGCATGTCACTGTTGGACAATGTTGTTGGACAGTGTTTGATGTTCAGTATATTGTTTTAAGTGTTTAAAATGTTGGACATTGTCTTGTGTGTTTATTTGCTATAAGTGCTAAATTTGTTGTTTGATTTGCTGGACAATGTCTGAAGTGTTAAAATTTGCTGGACAATGTCTGAAGTTTTAAATTTACTTGACAATGTCTGAAGTGTTAAATTTGCTGAACAATGTCTGAAATGTTTGATTTGCTGGACAATGTCTGAAGTGTTAAAATTTGCTGGACAATGTCTGAAGTTTTAAATTTGCTGGACAATGTCTGAAGTGTTTAATTTGCTTGACAATGTCTGAAGTTTTAAATTTACTGGACAATGTCTGAAGTTTTAAATTTACTTGACAATGTCTGAAATGTTTGATTTGCTGGACAATGTCTGAAGTGTCTGAAATGTTTAATTCGCTGGACAATAACAACATACCTGTCATGATGTATCTGTGAAAGCATAGAACACAAAAAATAAGTCAAAAGCCTTTTGAATGTAGATATATAGCTTTCTACCCTTTAAATCGTATATAGACTAGCCCTGTCTATTTATTCACTGGAATCAAATGTTTAATTATGGAGCTGTTACATTTATCTATTTGTACAAACTTCCTGCTGTGTTTTATTTGTCACGTCTCATTTTGTAAACAAATATTTTGCACAGGAAATTTTTTATATTTTTGAAAGGTGATGGTTGACATAATTATTGATGAGGAAGTTTTTTTTAGATATCTGAAACTTTTTACTAAATAATGTAAAATACACTATGGATTTGGATGTTATAGATGAGGTGAGGTACTCTAATTTACATATTGTATTATAATAGTAAACATTTCTATGTATCTGGTCCGAAAACTTGTATGGAAATTAAGAACAAGTAAGAGTTTGAATGGAACTTATATGTTTTCCATGATGAAACATCTCTCAAAACTCTTATGTGTTTAATACAATCGGATCATACTATGAAATCTGAAATATCCATGGTTTTTCAGAAACTAATTTGACACGATATATATTTGGCACTTGATTTTGTTTGAGAACTTATGAAACCAACTAATTCTAAAAATTGAAAACCTTTTTCTCAATGCAGGAACATGCTGCTGTAATTTGCCTAGTTTTAATTCATTTAAAAAGGGGACACAGTTAAGAATGTACACATGGACTAAGCATTGTTTTATCAGGTTTATGAAAGGTACAGAATTTCATGAATTATGGGAATTATAAATAACTTGCACTTTCCCATGCAGATTTTGATATTTCTTTGAATCAATTTTGATTTTCCTCAGATGCATTCTGAGTTTCAAAATATGTCAGCCCTTGGTATCACTGACAAGTCCTAGAAGGGAGAAACAGCTGTACAATGTTTAATTCATTATCTCATTCTACAGTATCTAACTCTTAATTTGTAGTGAAAGGTGCTATTTACTTGTGTGTCTTTAGTACAATATTTATAGATTACTTCTGGTAATGTTAATGTTTACCTAACATAATTTTCTGTGGCTCTTATTTATATCTAAAAAATACCGAAAACAGGGAAAAGATATTCTGATCATTCCCTAATTATAATTTTCTTGATTGTTTTTGTACGTGTTCTACCACCAGTTACTCTCGGCCATTTTATTGTTTTTGTAGGTGTTCTACCACCAGTTACTCTCGGCCATTTTATTGTTTTTGTAGGTGTTCTACCACCAGTTACTCTCGGCCATTTTATTGTTTTTGTACGTGTTCTACAACCAGTTACTCTCGGCCATTTTATTGTTTTTGTACGTGTTCTACAACCAGTTACTCTCGGCCATTTTATTGTTTTTGTACGTGTTCTACAACCAGTTACTCTCGGTCATTTTATTGTTTTTGTAGCTATTCTACCACCAGTTACTCTCGGCCATTTTATTGTTTTTGTACGTGTTCTACCACCAGTTACTCTCGGCCATTTTATTGTTTTTGTAGCTATTCTACCACCAGTTACTCTCAGCCATTTTATTATTTTTGTAGCTATTCTACCACCAGTTACTCTCAGCCATTTTATTGTTTTTGTACGTGTTCTACCACCAGTTACTCTCAGCCATTTTTGACCGGGTTACACATTGTGCAAATCTGGGTTATAGTATGGTGAATGTCAGGCAGGCGGGCAGGGAAAAGGGGTACCAGTTTTGTAGAATCAACTCCTCCTAGAGTTTTTGACGTATAAGCTTGAAACTTTGTAGGATGTTTATATATATGTTTATGATGTGCACCTCTTGTTATGGATTCATTCTGCATTTTTCCTATTAATTCATTTTCAACAGTCTGGCATGAAAAAACCAAGATGGAAGCCTTTGCCTCTCATTGGTTGAGATGTTGTTTTGAGTGGGATAGCCTCTCATTGGCCGAGACGTTTTGAGTGCGATAGCCTCTAATTGGCTCCAAAATAGATCCATGGTACTCAAATTCAATATCAGGTTATGACGTAAAAATACTGTAAAGTGATTTAATTTTGCGGGTCAAAATTTTGTGCTTTTCTTTCTAGAACTTATGCGTGGAATCTGAAATTTGTATAATACATTTGGTTTCATTGTAATAATTGATAGCAAACACAACTGACCTATTATCACGGTTTTCACGGAAGTTTCAAATTCGCTTTGAAACCAAATTGCGAATATAACAAAATATAACCCGATGCCAAGAAGCTGTCAAGTTCTTAGCCCACCATCCATAGTGTGCTGATTAAATCACCAGTTGTCCGTGGTCCATCATCTGTTGTCCATTTCTGAAACTTTTCTTGTTATCACAGTTTCTCAGAAACTACTACAAGAATCTTTCCGAAATTCCACATATAAATCAACTTGGGGCCCTAGATGCCCATTGCCTGTTTTTTGAACATCTCCGAATCAAAAATGGCTGCAACTTCTTTCTTCAAATGCCCTTATTCTGTACCAATTCATAAAATACAGCCAAACATTCTCTCTTATAACAAATATTCTACATACTCAACGAATGAAACACCCTTAACTGTCTTATAAATACCATATAACATTGCACTCATCCCGCAACCCGGGCAATAGTGGCTTTGCCCCATTTTTGTTGATTTTGAAGGTGTTCTACCACCAGTTACTGACCCTTTTTATCAGACACGACTTATTGCTGTTTCATTAGATGGTGTTAGATTTTTAGGAGATCTGACATATCAGCATAAATCAGCATGGATTTTACAAGTTAGGGGCTGTAATAGCTCAGTCAGTTAAAGCATTAGCTTACATAACCTCAAGTGAAGATCTGAGGCATGTAGTTGGACATTCCCAACCCATGGCAGTTTGGGTTTTTTAGGAATCTGTGAAACAGACCACTCTGTGCTGATGAAATTGTGTCTTTGGGCAAAACATTTTACATTAATTACTCTAGATGACATACCGTGGGCCTCCAATATGTTGTTCAGAGAGGTAGCAGGGCTCATGGTTTTCCATAGATATACATTTTCATCGGCTCTTGTGGATATATCACACTAATCCACTCCTACAATAATCCACATCAATTTTTATTTGTTGATCATTTCATGGCCATGTAAATTTATGGATATGAATACCATTCATTAAATGAAAATTCCCTCACAAAAATCACTGATCTTACATTATGTAATAAAGTTAATTAATATCTACTAATGGTGCTTTTCAAAAGACTTCTGAGATGTTAACAAATACCCATTATCTGAAGTCCCCTGGACTTGAGTTATTGGTCTAACACTATGTATACAATATGGTTTACCGGGTTACTGGTTTAAAACTTTAAGCAAAGACTGACAATTTAGGGCATGGCCTATTCTAACTGACCAACATTTTCTTTTTTTTTTTTGTATTTCACAGGATGACGATGAGTTTATTGGGTTTGCCACATTACCGGATCAGGTCCATAGGAAGGCAGTGAAGCGAGGTTTTGAGTTCGGACTGATGGTGGTTGGTATGTACAATAATTGTGTCCTGCTGGTTCCAGGCCAGAAACTTGTGTATGGTTGGTCAGTGTACAGAGAAAACATTTCTTGTATTTATTTGACCACAACATCTGGTATTAGGTAATCAACAGTGAAACAAACATTATTGTATATTCAATGAGAATTATACAATCATACATACCTTATAGCTAAACAAAACACTTTCATTGATAATAACAAGTAACTATAATTATATTGGAATGTCTCAACCTTCTTTGACCTCTATATCAGGCATTCATGACCTTCAAGCTGTAGCGGATCAGATCACCAAATTGCACTCTGTAACTCATAAATATGATACAGTATGGGTATCACAAACTCTCCATTGTGTTGTGTTTTCCTTCAGTGTTTAACAGGTAAAACTGAAGGGAGGGGGGAACCAGTCATTACCTATACCAGGTGTTGTTGAAACAAAACAGGGTACGAGACATTTGGGAGAAAAATGTACACAGCTTATTAGAACTGATGATGTTCTCTCACACAAATTGATTCTTAAAAAGAAATTACAAATACACCCAGAAATTATACAAACACAGAACATAAGGACATTCCTGTAGACCATAAGGACACACCTGTAGACCATAAGGACATACCTGTAGACCAATGAGACATAACTGTAGACCAATGAGACATAACTGTAGACCATAAGGTCATACCTATAGACCAAAGGGACATAACTGTAGACCATAAGGTCATACCTATAGACCAAAGGGACATTCCTGTAGACCATAAGGACACACCTGTAGACCATAAGGACATACCTGTAGACCATAAGGACATACCTGTAGACTAATGAGACATAACTGGAGACCATAAGGACATACCTGTAGACCAATGAGACATAACTGTAGACCATAAAGTCATACCTATAGGCCAAAGGGATATACCTGTAGACCAACAGGACATGATCTGTAAACTATCAGGAAATAATTGTAGACCATAAGGACATACCTGTAGACAAAAGGGACATACCTGTAGACTAATGAAACATAACTATAGACCAACAGGACATAACTGTAGACCAATGTAACTTACCTGTAGACCAATGTAACTTACCTATAGACCAATGTAACATACCTGTAGACCAACAGGACATGATCTGTAAACCATCAGGACATAATTGTAGACCAAAGGGACATACCTGTAGACAAAAGGGACATACCTGTAGGCTACAAGGACATACCTGTAGACCAATGGGACATACCTGTAGACTACAAGGACATACCTGTAGACCAATGGGACATACCTGTAGACCAAAGGGACATACCTGTAGACCAATGGGACATACCTGTAGACTACAAGGACATACCTGTAGACTACAAGGACATACCTGTAGACCAATGGGACATACCTGTAGACCATAAGGTCCTACCTATAGACCATTAGGACATACCTGTAGACCAATGGGACATACCTGTAGACCATAAGGTCCTACCTATAGACCATTAGGACATAACTGAAGACCAATGTAACATACCTATAGACCAATGTAACATACCTGTAGACCAATGTAACATACCTGTAGACCAATGTAACATACCTGTAGACCAATGGGACATACCTGTAGACCAATGGGACATGATCTGTAAACCAATGGGACATGATCTGTAAACCAATGGCACATACCTGTAGACCAATGTAACATACCTGTAGACCAATGTGACATACCTGTAGACCATCAGGACATAACTACAGACAATCAGGACATAACTGTTGACCAATGTAACATACCTGTAGACCAATGTAACATACCTGTAGACCAATGTGACATACCTGTAGACCAATGTAACATACCTATAGACCATCAGGACATAACTACAGACAATCAGGACATAACTGTTGACCAATGTAACATACCTGTAGACCAATGTAACATACCTGTAGACCGATGTGACATACCTGTAGACCAATGTGATATACCTGTAGACCATAAAAAATACTGGCAATAAAGACTATACACTCTAGGTATGTTTATCAGTCAATGAAGAAGAAGGAGACATATTCTTTACATTTATTTGAATGCAATAGCTACATTTATAATATTTCCTTCATATTTCATCATAGGGTTGTGTCAGGTTTATTTGTCACACTCAAATTTCAACAGCTGGTGTCAAAGCAATACTTTAAATGATTAAGCTTTGTCATATATTTGCAGTTGAAGAGTTGGATCTGAAATTCTCAAGTTTTTCAATACACAGTATTTATTCCATATGTCTCCACTGGGCTTGTATTTGGGAAATATACTGTTCATTCTGATAAGGCTTGATAATGGTTTATGAAAAAAGATTGTCTCTATGCAGTAGATTCATACCTGTGAGATGATATATACCATGCATTGCAAGGAAAACTAGAAAGAAGATATACACACTTACATATTTACTTTACCTGTATTTTATCTCATTACAGGTGAAACAGGACTTGGGAAGTCTACCCTCATCAACAGTCTCTTTCTGACAGATTTATACAAGGATAGAAAAATACCCAATGTGGAAGGTAAGGACATGTCTTAGCTTTATCAGTCTCTGCTGGAATTATATCCCCAAAATAATTTGTCTTCTTTAATGTACTATTAATTGATCCTGTCCCACACTCTGTGATAGTGACTACATTATCAGGTATATTTTAAGGAGTGAAACAAAAAAAAAAGAAATTCTATAGAAATATTTCCTTCTTCTAAACAGAAACATTGCTCCCATAATATTGCTGGGTGCCACAATAGCTCTGTCAATTAAAGCACCAGCCTACATAACCTTAGGTGAAGATCCAAGTTACGTGGTTTGACACTCTACCCTTGTCAGGTTGTGTTTCCCAAGGAAGCTAAGAAACAGAACACTCTGCTGAAGTGGTTGTGTCCTTGGGCAGGACACTTTACACTAATTATTCCGGATGACTTGAGACAGACTTTCCATATGGTGTTCATTTTCATAGTCACCAGCTACTACATGGAGACACAGCCTTAATATAACCCTGGCTGTTCATTGAAAGCAAGCACACAAAAGTCTTGATGATGTAACATGGAATGATTTTTTAATTACAGAGACCGTGAAGAAGACAGTTCAGATAGAGAAGAAGCAACTTGAGATAGAAGAGCGTGGTGTCAAACTCCGTCTTACTATTGTTGACACCCCGGGGTTTAATGATTCTGTGAATGGAGAGGAGAAGTAAGTCGCTGATACTTTTTAGTTTTAACGAAAATTTGTTTTGAAAATTGTAGATATACAAAAGTTTTAGAACCTGGGGAGAAGCATTACCTTATATCTAGCTCAAATATCAGGCTAAACATTACAATTATATCGCATTGGTTGGTGGTTCTACTCTTGTTGTAGTAATTTGCTTACTACCAGGCATGGACATGGAGAAATATGGCACTTGGTTCAGAGATTAGGTACCAGGAACCAGGGTTGTTGTTTTTGAAGTGATACTGCAAACGGAAAATTACATTATACAGGAAATATATGTACTCAGCCAGGGTATTCTTCCTGCTATACATATAATTATTCACTTCAATCAAGTGTGAAATTGGCTAATTAAATATATATCAAGTTTTTCATCAGATGTTCGGTTGTCTTTCATTTTTGACCTGTTGGTAAAACAGACAAAAGTAAAAACTGTGGCAAAAGATTCTCTGTATACAGTAAACGAAGGTCACATATGTAGAATATGAAATGTTCTCATTGTGGATGATGAGTAGCATTTATGATCATTAGATGAATAGTTTTTCAGATTTGTTATCTTCTAACTTTTTCGTTTATTTCCCCATTCCAACTCATTGTTGCCATCTCACCTATCATCAGGCCAACCTGATAATGACCAGATCATGACTTGCTCAAATCATGAAAAATGCTAGAACCACCTGGTATTTCTTTCCTTTTGATCAGTATCTTAAAATTTCAAAATCAATTTTTGGATTTAATATAGTCAAAATAATGTTCAAACATACACAGAACATCTGTTAGATATATACAAATGTATTAACTATACAATAGAATTGATTGTAAGGTCTTTTTTCTTGACGATCCTTTAAAACACCTTTCCAACTTTGATTCTGATAGGCTATGACCAGATTGATTGGTGAGAGGTTGGTGATACTGCCATCTGTAGAATTGTATTAACAAACTTAGCTCTAAACAGAGTGGAGGATTTAGCTGTTACAGGTATACAAATACTTCACATTTTCATCATGCTTGCATTTCAATATTTTTGATTTTGTAGCTGGATGCCAATTATAGATTATATTGACAACCAATTTGACCAGTACTACCAAGCTGAGAGTGGACTCAACCGTAAAAACATCCAGGACACTCGTGTTCATTGTTGCCTGTACTTTATATCCCCCTACGGACATGGGTAAGTTACTGGACACTTTGATCCATCCAGGCAAATTGGTTGATTTGAGATTCTATTAAAAACTTTGTCAGTATTTGCATTTAAACTCAACCAGATCTGTATATTACTGAAATCATTACATGAGAATATGCAAAAATGTCTTTCTGCTGCCAGAATAGGCCAGAAGTCAAAATTTTGTAGATCTGAAACTTGTATGAACAATTGTCTCTTATGAGTATTCCTTACTTGAGATGAAGGGCCCAGTGGCCGAGTTGTTAAGAAATCTGACCATCTTTATGACTAGCCCTCCACCTCTAGGTCACAAATTCAAGGCCTTCATGAGGCAGTCACCAGGTACTGGCCACAGGTCACTAGTTTTTCCTAGAGGTTCTACTCTCACCCAAACCTGGCACATCCTTACAGACTGGCTGTTAATGTGACATAAAGCAACAATAGATTAAAATAAATTACCTAGATAGAATCTAACATTTTTATTACACTGACAAGGATGTATGGATACCTCAGTACATCCACTTGCAAATAGAGCAAAAAGTTGGTTACAGATAATTTGAAACATTGAACACACACAATGTTATTTAGTATCTTTACATGACTTACCTAAGGACACTGTACTTGCTTTATCAATTCCTAAAAATAGAACATTTATCCATACTGTAATGTCATTCAGCAGAAGAATGAGCACATTATAAAGGTAGTGGCTCTTTTTTCATTCTGGAAATTTTTGAATTCCTACAAACATAGATATTCTGCTAATGACAGAAATAATATATTTTTATCACTTTTGATTGTTCTTTCTTTAATTAAACACACACAATTAGTTCACAGAGATGTTTATCAAGGGTTTATTTATAAAAAGATTCAATGTTTATGAAAAAATATAAACATCTGAATAACTACATATATATCAATGATGTGATCATCATTCATTATCTACCATTATTTTATAAAGGGACGTAACTCAGTATGACTGGTCATATGCCCAAACTTGGCAACTCTGAAAACTTGTACAAGGCCAAATTGAGGGAAGAATGAAGTAGTGTGGACTAATGAAGGTCCACTGTAACAAAAAAAGATGCATCTTGTCTATAATGAAACTATTTTAAAACAATAAGTCATGATGAATTCATGAAAACAATGACATCACTAATTGTATTATTGCTCGCCTAGAGAATATTATGTCCTGATGATCATGATAGATAATGTATTTTACTTACAGACTTAAACCAGTAGATATAGCTGTGATGAAGAGACTACATACCAAGGTCAACATTGTCCCGTTACTAGCCAAGTCTGACATTCTTACTCCAAAAGAGGTCAAAAGGTTAAAGACCAAGGTAAGGTCACAGCTCAATATATTCTGGTTCAGGGGAGACAATTTTGTATCTTGTAATTAATACAGTATATGTGTGTATTTGATTTTCGTCATTTCAGCAATGTAATTTAAGTCATAGCTTTCACTTATTACCTTGATATATAAGGATCTGATGGAGCCCCATTTCATTTGATTGCAATCACCACTTCATTTACAAGATTTAAGGGGAGATAACTCTGTTTTATGTTCATCAGATATTGGAAGAGATTAAGGATAATCACATTCAGATTTACCAGTTCCCTGAGTGTGATAGTGATGAGGATGAAGAGTTCAAGCAACAGGATAAAGCCTTGAAGGTAACATACCTCTCTTTACAAGGTTTGATTTTACATTTATAAATCAAGATTTAATTCCTTATATCCGGCTTTTATCAAGCGTGTCATAAGTCTGATTTTGTTTTTCCTGAACTGTCTAGGCAGCCATTCCGTTCGCAGTAGTGGGCAGTAATACTGTGGTGGAGGCAGGAGGCAAGAAAATCCGAGGACGCATGTACCCATGGGGGATAGTAGAAGGTAGGTATTCTGAGCACTTGTGTTAGGGTATGTATCTTTGAAGCTGTGAGTGCAATATTATATAAATGCATCATACTTGAATAGTTGATCTAGCTAGGGTTGTTTTATATATTTTATTATATATTTCATGCTTGTGTAAAATAGTTTTAAATATGGTCTTGGCAATGGAGCCTACTTGCAGGAATTTCATGGTTTACCAGAAGATCAAAAGAAAAGAACTAATGAGATTTTGCTTTAATGTTATCTGTCTTGGATTTTCTGTAAGGAAAAGATCAAATGTGACCTATTCCCTTTTCTTTGTCTTTACAGTTGATAATCCTAAACACTGTGACTTTGGCAAGCTACGACAGATGTTGATCAGGTCAGTGCTTTCTTTATACTTGTGTAGGATTTTTTTCAGGTTAAAAGAAGTTATGTTGAAGAGACAGGTGTAATTTTACATTAATCTAATAAGGAATATTTATCAGTCAGTGAAAAGCAGATGAAACTTCAGTGATTCACGTTCATAAACACAATTGGTTACAGGGAAAGGTTTTATTGTACATATATCTGAAATGAAAAACTTAGATAAAAATCTGTAACTCACTTGATGTTATCAGGTCAAACACATCTTCCCTATTTCATGACCTGCTGATATCATGAATCTTTATCTTTGATCAGTATTTTAAAATTTTAATATTAATTCTTGGATCTAATGTAGCCGAACAATGTTTAACACGGAACGTCATCTAAATACATACCGATTTGAAAACTAAACAATGTAGAATTGATTATAATCCACGATAACTCTTTGAAACACTCTGTCAACCTTGATTTGGAAGAGATAATTATCCAATATTAAATAACTAGAGGTTAGAGGAAATGTATGTATACTAAATGTTTTACATGAAAAATATGTCTGTTTAAATGATATAAAGGGATCAATGAGAATTAGAATAAGAGTTTTGCTTGACAGCATGTTTTCTTTAAAAAACAATTGTCTAGCAAATAAGTTTATTTACATTGTAAAAGTCTGCCATTTTCTTAAATTTGTGAAATGAAAATGTTCTATTGTCTTCATTATCTTCCTCATGGATTCTATTTATAAAACTGGAAGTTCTTGGCTTCTTGCTGAATAAGATGAGTACTATATCAGAAGGATGCATTTGTATTGATATTGTTTAAAAAGGGTAAAAATAAATGCTTGTATTTGACCTTAACTCTTTTGTTACCATGGCAGCACCCACATGCAGGATCTGAAGGACATCACAGCTGATCTGCATTATGAAAATTACCGTGCTGAACACCTTGCAGAGGAGATGAAGAGTTCCAAAAGGGACAGAAGGTAATGATGATTGTAGAATTTAACATTGTGTTGATTGGTTGGTTGGTTAACAGGATATTTTACTCTTAGGCTGATATACCTAAAGTATGAAGAGAGTTTTACTTTTGTCTTACGTTTATGCCTTTTTCATTGAAGAGTTCTCAAAGGGAGATGATGAAATGCTATGATAGTTTTATGATTTAAAAGTGTGTGCTCTCTTCTTGAGAAGAAACAGTAGGGAAAGATGTCTTGCAGATCAACATTCCTATGTTCAATGATTTCAGTTTTTGATGATTGGAAAATCTTATTTAGAGGAATCTGTCCAAGCATTCATTAAAATGATTAGGACATAAATATTTTTAATTATTTAAGCAAACTGAAACGAGACTCAATCGTAAATTTGGATGCTGTTACGGAAACAGACAGGCTACTGCAGCAAAAGGAAGCTGAGGTATGTTTTGATTTACTAACTGATGGATACAACTTATTTTTGATGAGAAATTTCATGTTAATTCTGAACTTGATGAAAGGATATTATAAAACAGTTCACAGATATTTAAAGGAAATATGAAAGAACAGAATTAACTATTTAGGCTACATCTCCTAACCATGTTTTTAGTAAAAATGAAATTGAATTAAGTTTCTATAAATATTGAATTTATGGAATTTTGACATGAAAGTATTCATAGCAATACTGGCATAGTTTCAAACTTTTGGAGGAAATAAGACAGGAGCATGTTCCTAAATTCTTAGTTCAGAAAATCTTAAAATCATTGTTATATTCTTGTTCAAAATGTTTACTGCAATCAAAGTATTAAAATTGGAGGTTTTGTAAACAGGCAATGAGTGAGATTTTATTTTATGAGGGGAGATAACCCTGTCATCATTTTTACCATGTTGCAGTCATGCCATCGAGCGTTATATTCATCCTGCATTAAGCCCATGCCCAGTTATAAGCCCATCGATATACATTGCTGATCTATAAAATTATAAGCTTTTTTATTGTCCTGTTATAAGCCCTCCCCTAACTTTGAGTTAGAAATATGTGTTGCCATTTGTGCACATTACAGGATGAATATGAAAAGTTACTGAGAGAAATAATTTCATACTCAGTATTTTTTGTATAATTTCTAATTCAGATACAACGGATGCAAGCTATGCTGGCCAAAATGCAGGCACAACTACAAAGTAATCAACCTCCAGTTAATGGGAAAGTAGCCAATGGTTAATCACCTTTACAGTCAAACCCTACTCTTCCTGTTTATTGTCAGTCGAAATTGGTTACAGAGAAAAAAAAAGAACATTACACCTGGTACCACCTTTCTGTTAATGACTTCATGTCTCAGGGAAGGCAAAATGGTGAATGAAAATCAAAGGTCCAGCAGAAACTTGTTAACACATTTATTCTATGAAGTTTTCTTCATCTGGAGTAGAACTTGATAGACATTGAAATATAGGTATTTCACAGATGTTTGGTGTGAATGAAAAGGTCAATTTATAAGACGATGAAGTGGGACTGCATTGTTATAGAAACATGAATCTGATATGGTGAATGTGAAAAAAATCTCTACCTGTTTGATGTTTTTCAGAAAGTGAATATTGAGTTTTATCGTAGTGCATGTGGAGTACAGAAGTAGAAATACCTCCCTTGTGGAGTACAGAAGTAGAATTACCTCCCTTGTGGAGTACAGTACAGTAGAGGAGTGATAGCCTTGTTGAATACAGCAGTAGAGGTATTTCCAGTGTGGAAAACAATGGATTAAATCATAATGATTTTCATTGTGCAGAAAACAATGGAATGATCTCCAAATAGTTGAAAGGTAGTTGAATTATCTCCCTTGTGGATTACAGCTTTGAAACCATTACCCTTTTGGAGTTTAGCAATGGAGGGATCTCCCTTGAGTAAGACAATGATTGTTGTGACCACTGAAAATGTTAAGAGCACTTGTACTCATTATCAATCAGTATATGCACAGATCAAACTCCAGATTTGAGTACTGCACTGGAATGGATACAGCTCTCAAAATATCTCCCTTGTGAAGTAGAGTAGTTATCAACACTTTCAATAACAATCAAACATTTGACCAGAGTAAACACAATATTCCATCCTAATCAACAACCATCCAACTCTCACCATCATTAATATCTCCAGTGTTTTCTCATAAAACTCTTGTTTGATTGGTTGACTTTCTTTTGTTTCCCATTTTCATTTATAATAATGTATGGTTATAATAGTGAATCACGAAGCCTGATGTAGTAGTTAATGAAAACATTTTTAGCTCCATTGTTTCCAATGGTAGACATCATTATTAGCAAAAATGTCCACCTTATCAAATATCAAGTTTCAGTGGTTAACTTTTGTATAGTATATTTTTCTTTGTGAAATATTGTGGAATTGATACCTTACATTTTATCATAACATCTTGACTAAAATAACTGTCAGTTTTTGTTGGGTTTTTTTTTGAGATTTTCTTCCTTTCTTTAAAGATATCAATTATTAATTCTAAATTCACCAATAGTGAGAGTTGATTGGTTAATCATAATAGATTGACACCTGCCCCTGTAGGTTCATGGTCAGTGTGGATGAATTTGATTGGCTGTTTCATGACAGGTAATGTGAATCATGTGCAATAGCAATCTTTGGAAGAGTATATGCATGTACATTTTATATCACTATTTGATTTGATTGGATGTTGTTGGTCACATGATTGCAAGACTAATCCTGATTGGTTGAATCAGTCTTTAAATTAAAGTTAATAGTAGATTGCATCTTATTAACACTTGTACATAAACTACAACACAAGGTTATTGAAGGTCTATTATGTTTAGTCAGCCTGATATCATGTTAGTATGTGTAGTCAGCTGATATCATGTTAGTATGTAAAGTCAGTCTGATATCATGTTAGTATGTTTAGTCAGTCTGATATCATGTTAGTATGTTTAGTCAGTCTGATATCATGTTAGTATGTATAGTCAGTCTGATATCATGTTAGTATGTTTAGTCAGTCTGATATCATGTTTTGTAACTGTCAGTCAGATAGTATGTCTTGCATCAAAATTTTGTGTTTTGGACCAACTTTTTGCATACTCTAAGTTGACTGGAAAAAGTGTTTTATATGATCATCAGTTTTACAGATCATCAGGGTTGTAGTGTAGATTACATTCCTTGGGTTCCATTTTCAGAAACAAGATACATGGCCGACATGTATCCATCAAAGTTTGGGAAATTCTAGTTAAATTTGTACCACAGTGACCTAACATGAGTTGACATGATGTAAATGTACTAGACCTCCAACAAACCTGACCAGTAGTATTCTATATCTAACACTTCCTATACATATATATTGTTAACTTATTCCACTAGATTTTCATTAGGTGTGACATTACTTATATATGTCACAGACTGTGTATGTTGTAATTATTTTACATATATTTTGAAATAACAAAAGGCATATTAAAATTCAATTGCTTTCATCATTTTTAATCGATATGAAAGTTGTTTCCCTTTGGGTGTGCGTGATGAGAAGCGTTTTGTTTAAGCTGCCTTGAGTTGTCTGAATGAATTACCATTGAAGAATTGGCTGAGGTGGTTTAATGTAAAATCACTCGAATTCCTTTATGTCATGAAATATTGGTCACACTTCTTTTACAATGTAACCTGGAATCACATCACATACTGAGAAACATCATTGAGCTATCCTTTAAACTGAAGAACCATTAATGTAAGGTCTTTATCAATTAAAAAACATTAATGGTTTTCCCTAACAGTTAAGAACCATTATTGGGATGTCCCTAACAGTTAAGAACCATTATTGGGATGTCCCTAACAGTTAAGAACCATTATTGGGATGTCCCTAACAGTTAAAGACCATCATTGGGGTATTTCTAACAGTTTTAAGACCATCCATGGGCTATCCGTAACAGTTAATGACCATCTATGGGCTGTCCTTAACAGTTAAGAACCATCATTTGGCTATCTCTGACAGTTAAGAACCACCATTGGGATGTCCCTAGCAGTGAAGAATCTTCTATAAGCTATATAAAAATAGTGTCACATATTATATATCAAAGACTTGAGGCATACATCTGTATGTTAATCTTGCCTGCTTTACTTACCTCTGAGACACAAGGTCATTATGATAACACCTTGATCAGTTCTATCCCTGCAGTTTTAGATCTCGCATTTTTTTTTAAAGATTAAGCCCATGATACTGGTTCTGAAATGCATGCCTGGTAATAATCAACTGAACTGAAGGTGGTTGATTTGACAAAGTTTAATTTCTTTCTAGGTAAAGTGCTAAACTTTTGGGATAAGCCCAATATATTTTTCCTTCAACAAAAAACACGGTATCATTGCGTGTAAGGAAAATAAACAACAACACAAACATGTAAGATATGCGATACTTAAATACAAGTCATACAAAGACAGTTTTTTTCTCTTCATTAGTTTTCGCTGTGTATGACAGCATTGGGAGACTGCTTTCTTTTGTTATATTCAATATGAAGGAAAACATGAATGATTTGAAAAAATTGTCGTAATCTTAACATACAAAATGAGTGAGATGTTAAGTATTGGAGCATGTACAGATTACTGTGTGTACTTGTTTGCTGTTAAGTATTGTTGTTTAATGTAAAAAGAGGTTCAAAGTTTGTTTTCTATTTTGCTCTTTCAATAGTTTTGTATTGTTTTTTATTTTCATTTTGTGTTTTTAGTTTTTTTCGTCATTGAATTTAACCTTAAGAACCAAATTTAATGGTTTTCTTTTATATAGACTAAAGTTAAAAATTTTGATGTTCTGAAATTTTAACTAAAAACTAAACAGGACAGTGGTATAAGAAATAAGTCAAAGAATATTAGGGTCATCTGAGGTCAAGTGGATAAATATACTCTAGGCAGTGTGTCAGGATTTCATAGAATGTGTTTTGTGTTGTACATGTACTTTAAAAAACTGAAAAATGAAATCATGTAAAACATATTGAAACCAATTGTAAATGAATGGGTGACAGCATTGGCCAAGTGGTTAATGCATCTGACTGTCTTTATCACTGTCCCTCCACCTCAGGGCTGCGGGTTGGAGGTAAATTGTTAATGTCTGGAAATCTCAATTTTTTAAGGTTAAAGATGTAAAACAGTACATCAAGTGTTCAAATACCACAGGAAGTGGAAAAGACGTTAATAAGTTAAAGATGCATTGTATGTGTATGTTACAGATAAATATGTTTTTAGATTAGTATTGGGCCAATGATTGATTTACATATAAGGACTTTTGATTGATTTGAAAAAATAGGACACATTTTGATTAAGAAAAATTCAAATTTGATTCCAATTTTTTTTTAACCTTGTCAGTTTTCTAGAAATTAGTCTTCTTTACTGGATTTGTTATAACCTGATCGGGTCACATACAAAAAACATTAAGATGCTTGAATCTTAGTCTGGTATGGGTAAAGAACTAACAGGTTCTGATCTAACATTTTTGAAAAAAAATATTTCCCTGGCAACAAAAACATACTGTTTAGAACTATGATTTTATTTCTAATCAACAATTTATCAATAATTCATCGATAAAAGTTACACAAAAAATATTTATCAACTGATGCCCAACACTAATTCAGATACTAGCATTACAACTAATTCATGAAATAAAACTTTGACTAATGTCCATGTTTAAAAGATTTCTATATTAAAATTTCTTTTTATGAGAATGGCTAGAAAAATGTATGGAACACTTTTGGAAGGAGGTACATGTAGTAATGTCCAGATATCACTTAAGAGGTCTTTTGACACAACTGTACATGTGCTATACTTCAACTGATAAAGAGAATTGTGAGTCTATAAGTTAGGTGAATCCTAATCTGTTGCTATAAACCATTGATTTACATACTTAATGGCTATTTACTTATGTTTGGTTTATCTTTGGATAAATAGATATATTATGAAATAAAATGTATATGTAGTATTTTATAATTGTCGTTATCTGTTGATTGCATGTTTGTAGCTCATAATTGTTAAGTTTCTGAGGTAGATTCAGAGACATTCTCACTTTAAAAAAAATGTCCATTTCATCAATGATTGCTATTGAGAACAATTATATATCATTTTGAGAAGTTATAATAACACAGCCAGTAATAGAAATTTATGTGTGATGTCCAGTTACTGAATAGAAACTCTTACAACACAGCCTGTATTTATGTGTGAGGTACAGTCACCAAAAAAAAAAAAAAAAAAACCACAGCCAGCAATAGAAATTGGTGTGACATTTCAATAACTATTCTGTCACCTTTATCAGAAAAATGGCCAGTATGAAGTGTGTTGAGGTATAAAATGTATGACATGGTGACAAATTCACAATACTTTTCTTCTGTAATATAATCTTAAGTACACCAAGGTGGAAAGTAGTGTGAGGTGATGGTGATAAAATTATAGTTTGAAGGGTTGAATTCCTTATGTGCCTTGGGTACTAACAATGTACTATTCCATGAAAGTTAATATTCTACAGTTTGTTTAAAACCTTATCATAGACTAATTGGCCCCCTCATCTCTGTTCACTACCAACTAGCTGCAGCTGTCCGCTCAACTGGGAGATAATCTGCCTCCTTCAGTTTCCATGTTTTTTCTGCTATTCACAGAGTCAGACCCTAAATATCCTTCCTATTTCTACAACATATGGTTCATTGCATTGTTGCACCCAATTTTAAATACATATTCTGTGAATATCTTTCGGTGTTTCATTCTTAGGACGGACAATGGTATTATGGAGCTCATTATGGGGTTTCATGGGAGTTGCAATGCCAATGCCATAATTTCCGACCATTCTTTTTGTAGGGAATGATAACTTGTCATTTTATTCTTTACTTTGAGGGTTCTGCTCTTGGACATTTCTTTCATTTCCTCAAGTCGTAGGATCCTCCTCTGGTTTGCCTACTCCGGATGTCTACATGTTGTTATGGTGCCTTGGATCAGATTCTATTGTTTTTATCCTGTTATTCTGTGAAAGGTGTATTATATCTATTGACCAAAGTCTGTACAATGTTTACCCCCTGATGTAGGGGTCATAAGTTTTCTCTATAGACCAGTACTTTGACTGCCATGCTAAAAAAGGACATGTTTCATTAATATCTTCATGCTTTTGTTGGTGGTATTAACGACAGTGTTTTGTGTAGTTAAATCCTTCCTTGACTCTTTCCAATATGTCATCGATGTGTCGTTTCCACAGACTAGGCTTTCATTCTTCAGGGGTCGTCACTATAACCTTTTCCTCCAAATTTTCCATAAACAAGTTGACAATGATCAGAGCCACTGACTGCTCATGGCTGCAGCATTGCTGATAGATGGTGTTGCAAAAGTGAAAAATGTTTTAAGTACAAATTCCAGTAACTTCATAATTTTTTATATCTATCTAGCTCTAGGCAAATTTGAATCAAGGTTTTTTTGATGGGCATGTCGGTTAAAAATGACACTTTGGTATCATATGAACATGGGTTTGCAGTGTATACAGGTGTTTGTATCATTTAGGTAATATAGGAGTTATTTTTAAGGTGTCAAATTTTTGCTATATTTGAGGGTTGACTAAAATGGAGAAAAATAGATGGAGATAGTAATGATACCGAATTCCGTTCAAAAATTTCATCAGAGTTTTGGTAAAAAACTAAAATCTAAAACAAAAAAACCCAACTTTACAGTATTTCAATATGAAGTTCAGTTTAATGCATGAATTTTTTTATTGTGCATTATTAAATAACACCTCCTAAGAGATGATATGGTTTCGTTATATTTGTCAATAAATGTTGAGGAGTTCACATTACTGTATATTTGTTTATCGCTGGGCTTTATTTTCACATTGTCCCAGTTTGGGATATAGTTCACTAATATGCAGCTTCGTGATTGTCTATGAACTGGTGTACATGTATACATGCATCACATTTTTCTGAGATTTTTATTCACTGTAGAAATGTTCATTGGCCGTTTAATTTAATTGATCATGGATAAAGCGAAATTAAATTCCCTGTGAATGTTACCAACTATACAGATAATATAGGCTATTGAAACAAAGGAAAAGGTACAAAGAAGTACAATATCAATTAGAGGAATTGAACAAGTTACCACACATAGAGTGCTTCAAGAGAATATGTATTCCACTCTCTGACATGCTGGGAATCAAGAGAACATCATTAATGTAATGAAAATACAACCATACCAAGACAAACAAAATTAACTGTTCAAGCTTGATATATCAATCAGAATGAATTCCTATTTGCCTTTATTTCATTAATAGTTAGAAACTTACACAATCCTCCCACAACAATAGATGTTTTGTATCGTCACTTTTAATTGGCTATAGAGCTGCTAATAAACCAATTTAAGGATTAACTTGAATGTTAAATAGGTAGCCATGATGCATAATTGAATTCTACAAATTTTGTTATTTACATTATCATGATATGTATGTTTTTTTATTTTCCAACCAAATGTTTTAGTTAAGTACTGACTGTCTGTTTTGTTGCTTACATGGACAGATGAAGGGAAGTGAACCTCGTGCAAATAAAAGTGTATCTTTTCAGCTAGCACAAAAGCATACAACCCACTTCTTTCATCTGGGAATGACTAGTTTTGTTACGGTAAAGTGTAGTTGAAATGTAAATACCTGATATATACCTCCGTGAAAAGAGAAATATATACCTCCGTGAAAAGAGATATACCTCCGTGAAAAGAGAAATATATACCTCCGTGAAAAGAGAAATATATACCTCTGTGAAAACAGAAATATATACCTCTGTGAAAAGAGAAATATCAGTGGAACTTCTGTTTTGTGTCGACACCATCTACGAAGGATGATGACCTGATACAATACTCCTATCAAATAGATATGACAAAACACTAGATTACTCACCACTCGAAAAAAACATTTATGAAGATGTAAACATACTTCTCAACTTTTTAACATATAGGCATAAATAAAAGTTGTGTATACCCTCCAGTTAAGAAATAACACTTGTAGATGACATCTTTTTGTTGATTTAAATGAAAGCTAAGAAATCTCTGAATATAAGAAGAGATTAACAAATACATGCACACTTACTGAAAATACCAGAATTGGGGAAAATCCACAGTCCTCCATTGGGAGGGCTGGCATGTATGCGTATAAAATTTTGACATCCAATTATCTTTTCATATTCAACATTGCTACTCATATGTAGGATACAACTTACTTAGGTAATATATGCACATGCTGAAACTTTATTCTTTGAAATAAAACCTCTATAATTGATTTATCACTCCTACGATGAAGATACAGTTAACAGGACTTGATCGTTACAGATATAGACATATAGATTATATGGACAATCCCAGGTATATGAAGTGGCACTTCTGCTCCTTAAGGAATGTATACTTAGCACTTGCAAAACATATTGTTCTCTCTCTGCTCAGATTTCATTCATTTTGTCTGTTGTATGCCTGCTCTTTTAGGAGTGTATACTTTGTATTGGTAAGACACATTGTTCTCTCTCTGCTGCGTCCTGTCCAAAATGATTGACCTAAATTTAAAAAAAAAAATAAGAAAAAAAAAAAAAAATAAATAAAACAGTTTAACAGATACAAACCATCAATAATACACCAAACTAAAGAAACATTCATGCATCTTAAACATTTCCCTAATAAACGGTATACACAACAATCCATTAGTGAGTGTAGGCATCTATGAGGTCCCTGTTGTCATGTTTGTTTGCAAGTTTCACAGTGTAGATGTTCAGTCTCCTTTGGCAAGAAACATATTTAGATATTTCATTTTTCATAATAAAGAACCCTGTTTGCTTTTTTTCTTGGCATATTGGTAAAAAATATATCAGCAAGACATAACTTTATTATTTGCATGGATCATGAACATTTCAATGACACGAGGAGTACCAAGAGTTAAAAAAAAAAACAAACGAAAAAAAAGAGACGAATCTGTATATTTGAACTCAAGATTATACAGAATAACGTTTGTGCAATACAAAGTTTGTACTCCTTAGTATGCTTCGTGACTTCATTGTTGTTGACCCTGTTCTTATTTCAGAACATGGCATTACTTGCTTGGATTAATCAATATTTATGTGTTATGTGGAGGTGATGAAGCAGAAAACGCCTATCCTTCAGCAATACCTGGTTACCTTCTCCTTGTATCTTTTCAGGAGTCTCCTAGTAAATCTTACCTGAACGTTACCAGGCACAACCATAGGGGGAAAACTCAGTTTCTTAACCCTGACAATATTGTATTTAGAGGTATTTTGTTCATGAAATATATTTATCAATAGGAAGATACACAGCACCTTACTTCAAAATTGTACATCAACACAAGATAAATTTACTAACAGATCCTCGTCATAGGAATCTTCAAATAAGGGAAAGAAGGTGTCGGCTTGGTGCTGTCCGTATATGTGGGTTAGGTAAACATGTTCACAGCAGGGATGAGAAATGGCGTCCTGTAAAATAGATATATATATATATAATTGCTGCTCTATTCATTAGATAAACAATACTAAACTTACTCCAATTATGTCAGAGCTTCAACAGATTATGGCCATATTCCAACTCTCTATAGGCAGATTTGTTATGTCTGCTTATAGTTAAGTTTTTAAATGATTTTGTTAAATTTTGTTTCTAAAGAAGATTGGCTATGTTGAATATCATTATATTATAGTTAATATGATTTCAAACAATATTGTTCAACATTATTTATTTATTCAATGTACCTTTTTTGGGACATCAGTTGGAAAGGAGAAATCAATTATATTGTGACCGTGCATCTACATCATTCTTGTTTTTGGGGAATCAATATAAATAACTCTTCTCCCATGGACAGTTCCACATCCTTTTATTTTGTTGGTTCTTCTATACAATCTTTTCTAACATGTGGTCTCTCTGTATTTCCAATCTCAACTTCCTCTCCGTGACTCTGTATCCGGACTCTCTCTCAAAGCTCCCCCCTTATCTTATCTATCTCATCTAATATATCAATAGTCTAAATGTCATTCCTTTCAGTTCTATTCTCTGATTCTATTGGTCAGTTCTATACTGAGGAGGTGGGCCTAACCTATCTCAATGAAGTCTTGTTTCAGATGCCCACTCCCTTTCTAAGGTTCCAGATTTTACCTTTCTACCAATTACACCAAATGGACCTTACATCCACACACCATTGTCCAGCAACCCTCACACCAATATCATCACACTCCTCACTCTCTTTGAAATCCAGCCACAGTGTGTGGTCTGGTCATCGCTTTACTCACTATATCTCTTTCAAATATCTTTTTGATTACTTTCTTCTCTGATCTAACAAACTGTCCATTTCTCACCCGTCACAATATCATACCACATTGAACTCTTTGAAACAGATAAAAAATGTACAAAAGACACACACCCTCAACCTCACAAAAAAAAGAAACAAGATATAAACCTTACTGAAAAAATTTGAAAAACCAAATTAGATTTTTTGGTTGTTAATTTTTGCTATTTTACTTTTTTCAGCAATTTTGTGGCAATAGATATTTTCGTGAGTCTGACAGTCTTTGATTGCATTCTGAAGTAAACAGGCATGTAACCAAGTTATTGTGTGCATAGACGGGATGGAAGGGGTACTCAGATATTCAGAATTCAGTGATGAAGTATCTGTAAGAGTTCGGAAAGCGAAGCCTCACAAATCTTAGAATGAAATGAGGATCAGCTTATTTGTGATGTTTTACATGTTGCAATAATATGTACACAACCATGTAAAGAAAGTAAAAATGATAATGGGCAAGTATTTGTTTAAAGTATCACTGTACTGCGTAGAGAGTTCAAAGATTTTTTTATGCTTACTTCTCATAACATAGATTGTCATGTGTTTGATGACTGATGACATGGCAAAGATTCAAAGAACGCTCCCTAATGACTTTTCATAGTTTTGTCAACATCAGAATATCTTTCCTGTGGTCAGTTTGGTCGAGACCGAGAGAGAGAGAGAGAGAGAGAGAGAGAGAGAGAGAGAGAGAGAGAGAGAGAGAGAGAGAGAGAGAGAGAGAGAGAGAGAGAGAGAGAGAGAGAGAGAGAGAGAGAGAGAGAGAGAGAGAGAGAGAGGGGGGGGGGGGGGGGGGGGGGGGAGAAATTATGGAAGTACCCTATTTAGGCAATTCGAAATTAGATTGCCTAAATACTGAACATTAATCATGTGATATTTATCACTTGACAACAAAACTTGGGGCCCGATGTCCGATTCTGGCAGCAGCGACACTATAGGTAAATTGGAAAAAGACAAACCTCTCCATTTTGTATTTTGTAGAACACATATAATACATTGTAATTTTACCTATCTAGATCTACTGAATTTCTACAAGGGAAATATTATGTATTTTTATGTAAAGTTGAGGTGTACGATTTGTATAAGAACATAAGTAGATAATTATGTAAATTTTTTATAAGATAATATCAAATGAAATCCTATCTTGTGTTTTATATCCATACTACGGCCCGGGTCTAAATTTCAAAGGTGGCCCTCATCATTTTGACATGGAAGCGTCATATGTTTGGTTCTATCTCTTCTGTGATCTGCATTCTACACACATCTGACATCAGTCAAAGTTTTAAATGTCACATGACCAGTATTGACTACTCACCGTATATACGTACTGGCCTCCTAATATCCAGACAGCTTCAACTTGGTCTTTTAATGATGTTTCCACGTACTGAAGAGCTTCGTCAAGGGAAGGAACTATTTTGTGTATAAATTTATCACTCTGAAGTTCCTTACTGAAACGGAGAAACGTAATGTAACCAATAATGTATCACAATTACTAACAGAAGCGGAGGGAACTGGCAATCAAACTACAAGAAAACAAACATAAAGTAGAATAATAATAAAAAAAAACCATGATTCTCAGTTCTTGTTTTTTCCCCCAGAAACACTCTGCTTCTTCAACTTACCAGCCCTGGGGAAGCTTATTGGTTTTTTTCTGTCTGTACCGCCAGTATCAGTGAAACAGAAGCATTTGCATTAAATTCTGTACAAAAAGAAACATTAGCACTGCGGTGTATTTCCACACTTGCACAAAATTTGTTATTTTTGCCCAATGATCAATAAATTTTGTCTCAAATTTCAGAAGGGCATTATTTTTTTCGTCAATCTTTAATCCACTTTTCATATTCGTTTTATTGAAGAAAGGACGAATGTGTCGCGAGTAAATGAAATGTTTACCTTGGATTTCTGCTGATGACAATATTGAAAACGTCCCGTGTTTTCCCTTCGTGACTAGCACACTGCCACGTGACTCGGCCTCGTATGTTAACACATTTTCTGTCTGTAACATGTTGAGGCATTGTATTAAAGCCCCAATATACGTAACATTCACCAAAAATTTAATGTAGAATCACACATAATTATTGAGATATTCTCTGAAATGTAGTTAAAATTAAGTTATTCAAACAATAGTTACCATGACTTTGTGCATAAAGTATCGATATATGAACAGTTGAAACTCGTTATTTGTAAACACACCTCCATTTTAAACACGCCGCCATCGAAATTACGATTGTTGCCGAACCACGTCGGAAAGTTCATGACCTGTCTCGCGAGAGTTGGGGTTTCTACTTATAGAGGAAGCACATGCAGATATGTCTAAAGTAAGTTTTTGTTTACAAACATTGTCTGCGAAGTCTTGTCGTAGACTTGAGGTATTCCTGTGATAAACATTCAGTTTTTGGGAAATTATTAGAAGAAATAATTAGTTTAGAAACGATACGACGCACAATTATAACGTAAGAATTCAGAACTGGCCTGATGTATGATTGGGAAAAAAGGACGCGACTGGTGAACGTCTGTACTGTGTCTGCCATGTTTACACACGCGGAATATGCGCATGCGCAATGTCATCGCTACGAGCGGTAATGTATGAATTATTGTGGGTCCGACATTGTTTATTTTCCGATTTTTTTCAATTTCTATTGAAATTGAAAACAGTCAGTTTTATTTTATTTAGTTAAAGGAAAGTATTTGTTTTGTTACATATATTACGGGGAAAATAAGACAAAGTTTGTTTTTATAGTGATTTTTACGTATATAGGGGCTTTAAAAGGTGATGTAAATATGGTGAAGTAGATAGGACCACTACACGGGAAGTAAAGACAAGACGTAATAACATATACAATGTATAGGAAATTCATTTAACAATTAATCATAACGTAGTTAGCAACTCGATAAAAACAAGTATCATACATGGTTATAGGAAAATATGAAAACTTGCCATTCACGTGAAACATGTAATAGATGGCAATGAATATGTGAAACTTGAGGCAACATGTGTCAGTGAGTATGTAAAACATGGTGATGAGTACCACTGATTTAGTGAATTTGCGAAATGAGTAACATCAGCTGTCACTAAATATATTAAACATGTGACAACAGGTACAATTTTATCTATAGAATTTTAGTATATTCATACCTACCTGGCGATGAGGTCCTCGCTGTTAAATCCATGAAATATCGATATTCGTTTCTGCAAAAAATGAGATTAAAAAAAACTTAAAGCAACATGTTTTTCTAAAACGTACAACTGTAACTCACTGTTAATTCAGGGTTATTGCGGTATTGATAAGAAACGGTTACATAATCCCTATATAATAACTATGTATATTATAACTTGTAGTACATCACAAATGAACATTTTTAGCCCTGTTTTGGACCACAGCGCTAAATCACGTCATGTACTTAAGACTGTTTTCTTGTCTAATCATCTAATCGACGAAACTATACTGGTACTATACTAGCTAGAAACAGAAGCTCCAACTGAGAGAATTGTGGTCTCCAGAATAGAAAGCAATCTATGAAAACCCTACATTCATCTTTTACCAAAGTTGATGGAAACTGCTCCAATCACGAGACAAATCCTCCAGGTTGAAGTTATTGATATCTACCGTAACGTGCGTGTCACATTTTAATTAGTTCATTGTTACTGAGAGTTTTTCGGAAACGAGAAAATTGATTGAATCAGGGGCTAGGATATCTCGCCATCAAAATATTGACATCTTTGTCGATCACTTTTGATTTTCTCTGTCGTATCCTAGATTTACCAAAAATAGGCACTGTAGCATCACTGACGAGTCCTTAAAAGACGAAACAGCTGTATGATGCAGCATCACTGACGAGTCCATAAAAGACGAAACAGCTGTATGATGCAGCATCACTGACGAGTCCTTAAAAGACGAAACAGCTGTATGATGCAGCATCACTGACGAGTCCATAAAAGACGAAACAGCTGTATGATGCAGCATCACTGACGAGTCCATAAAAGACGAAACAGCTGTATGATGCAGCATCACTGACGAGTCCATAAAAGACGAAACATATGATGCAGCATCACTGACGAGTCCATAAAAGACGAAACAGCTGTATGATGCAGCATCACTGACGAGTCCTTAAAAGACGAAACAGCTGTATGATGCAGCATCACTGACGAGTCCTTAAAAGACGAAATAGCTGTATGATGCAGCATCACTGACGAGTCCATAAAAGACGAAACAGCTGTATGATGCAGCATTATTCAGTATATCGTTCTATTGTATCTATTTCTTAATTTGTAATAAACGTGTACAAATTCTACAACATTCAAACCAGGTCAGGGAATGTCCCTACTAATCAGACGTACTTATCACTGCTAATGTTCACCGAATTTATTGTCAAAATCAAAAACTTAAGGTACACGTAATCCAATTTGTGGCCTTAGTTAACGCTTACAGCAAACGCTCGCGTTCATCACTAGACAGGACCGTAATTCATTGATATCAACAATATCAGTCTTCAAGTTCTGATCTCGTAGCTATCCCTGAGTCTAAAGACCCTTAGATTCACATGAAGGGGAGATAAGCTTGTAGACAAATCCTGCGAGGTAAGCCACTCTACTCCTTCACCATTACAGTTGTTTCCATGGCGATCTCTCCTGTATAGTACAGTCGAGGGTCCGGAATAAAAAAATTGTGCAGTGTTATGCTGTCAGTTATAGGATGTAATACTATCAGTTAGATTATATAATATTATCAGTGTTACTTACTTCAGTCTTGGCCAAGGTAGCATGTTTTCGAAGCCGATTCCTCTGTTTGAAGCACACATAGCTGCCATTATATTAAAGTTCATGTTGTCTTTGTACATGCAGATATAACTTCCTTTCCATTAGCGTAGGGATACACTTTAATATAGTAAGTAAGCAACATCTATTCTGTGTCACACACCTGTGACTTTGACAGGTAAACTATCCTATCTGACTAAGTAGGTAATGTCTATATATAACTGAATCAGATGCGTCGCTGTCGTCCACCTGTTACTAACAGTTATCTCAATGACATCCAAATCAATATTTCTATTGTAAAATTATATTGGTTTTGATATTGATCTCTTACGGTGTTAAGTATATAATTATTACTGGATTGATATTCTCATCTGATTTAAGAAACAACAAAGCTGTTTGAACTTGATCAGATCACGCACAAGGCAACCGGAAAATGTCGGTTTGGCGTCTGAGTTAGAGTAAAATAATAAAAAAGAAATAAAATAACTAATAGATTAAAAAAAATAATAATACAAAAAAAAGAAGAAGAGGAGGAGAAGGAGAGGGTGGGGAGAGGGGGGAGTGGGGGTGGGGGTGGGGGGGGGGGGGGGGTGGGGGGGGGGAACAGAATATATACATGACATCATGAAACCACAATTATTTTCTAATATTCCAATCAGATATCGGCGTCACCTATGGTTTTAAATAAACATGTTGATCTTGGTTATGCTGTTTTTATAGTGTTGTTTCAGTGCTTGTACAGTAATTACAATGTTGTATTGTGTTTAAAATGCGATCTCTAACTTTCAAGTCAGCTTCAACCAAGAGATAAAACACTATTAATGATCCGCATGGGAAGAAAGGTTGTACTAGTTATCTCCCTTTAAACATATTTCACTGTTAGCTGTTACTATGGAATCAAATTGGGTAAATACCTGTCATGTTCGTGAGTGGAAAACGATATAATATTGCATATAATTCTTTGATTTTCTAATGTCTTTTATTTGGGGTTTAATTTTTCATAACAACTATGCTTATACTAGACCTGTATATGGTCCACAAAACCTGACAAAACAGAAAGGGTCACAATATAGGAGGCAGCAAAACATCAGCCACGGTCACATGACCATTGGTCAAGAGGGTAAAAGTGTCCACTGTTTATTGGGGTAAATACGCGATAAAGGACATATGATGACAGTGTCCAAAGAGGATCGACGTCAAAATAAATATCGTAACATTTAACCGTGCTAATATGCCATAACTTCACGATAGCTTCCAAAACCAGTGTTACACTGAAAAGAGATCCCCACCAGGATGCATTACGTTCTTGTTAATTCGTTCCAATTTGTATAAACAAACTGACTTAACGATGTTTGATTATTTCATTTTTTTCTTTGCTTGTTTGGAAAAAAAATATTAAAAGGTTAACAAATTTGATACTGTCCATGTCCACTATAAGCATGATCACAAAATTAAACTCGTAATGTGTTGCCACCTGCTTGTTATGGTATGTTAGTGATGAAGCCGATCTATATAAAAACAGGTTGTTGTACATATATGAGTGGGCGAAGATTTCAACTTGTTTAGCCCATAAACACGACATTTACTACAAAAGTGAAATCTTCCTCTCGACTAAATATAGGGAAAGCAATCGAATTGTTGATACGTGTGAAAAAAAAATTCCTAATGAAAGTTTGGTACATGTACATGTCAGCTTTCATATTTGATGTGTTTCTGGCTGTCAAAATTGCAAAAGTAGGCGTCACGCTACATGGGGTCATGATGTTTTCGTCTATTTCTCTGATGAAATACCGAATCTTATAAACTCCGTCTTCAGTAATACAAATGATACTTCAAACTATCTTCATGTTCCATTATCCTTCCACAAATGTCTTTTAAAACATTTGAAATTAAAGCAGTCTTTATTCATCCAATTGCCTTAGAGTAACAGTCGCTATACACGTGACGTTGACGTGATACTGACTTGTCACGTGTACCTGTTTATAGTTCGACGAGCACAACTATAAATGTGCAAAAAACTTCAATCTAGCTTATTTTAAAACAAATTCAAAACGATAATCTATTTATCACCTAACATTTGGAGGACTGAAGCGTTCCACTAAACATGCGACAAAATTTTGTTGCGGTAAAATTCATAGTATTCATTAAAACTTGAAGCTTGAAGAAAGTTAACCAGTCTTTGGTTGGAGACCGGTTAATCAGATACAGTTTGTGGTCATGTTGGTCACTTCGTCTGGCCAGGTACAATGGTCATTGAGGCCGGACAACATATTAACCTTCCCATGTACGTGGTAAATAACAGTGCTGGCGGTTATCGTCTGTTAGAAAAATAACTCGGATACCTTTTAATATTGCGTTGTTTCTGTACTGATGGCATCTATACTTTCTCTGTCATTTAAACATTTGATCCCTACTAACTTTTGTAGCAGCTAGTCAATGCACTAGTGCAAAGAGGTTAACTGTTTCCACAGGACGGTTTTACAAGTATGATTTTACTTTATGTAGCCATGAAGTATAACTTCATAAAGATTGTACAAAAGACTCACAAGTAAATAACACCTTTTGATACAAATTTAGAGTTCGATACAGTAGAGTCAATGAATGAATTAAACTGCATCAGTCTTTAAAATTGCTTCTGCAGATTACAGGTGTAATATAATATCTACATAACTAACTTAGCAGGTAGTGAAACGAGTAAAATGAAATTATATTTTAATGAAACACATTTTTCAAAGGATGTATTGGAAGCTCTCCTGACAGAAACGTGAAACAAAGCCGACTTTATGAAACGTGAAACAAAGCAGACTTTATAAAAGTGAAACAATGTCGACTTTATGTAACGTGAAGCAAAGTCGACTCTACGAAATGTGAAACAAAGTCGACTCCATGAAACGTGAAACAAAGTCGACTTTATGAAACGTGAAACAAAGTCGATATTATGTAACGTGAAGCAAAGTCGACTCTTTGAAACGTGAAACAAAGTCGACTTGATGAAACGTGAAACAATGTCGACATTATGTAACGTGAAGCAAAGTCGACTCTTTGAAACGTGAAACAAAGTGTCGACTCTACGAAATGCGAAACAAAGTCGACTCTATGAAACGTGAAACAAAGTCGACTTAATGAAACGTGAAACAAAGCCGACTTGATGAAATGTGAAACAAAGTCGACTTGATGAAACGTGAAACAAAGTCGACATTATGTAACGTGAAGCAAAGTCGACTCTTTGAAACGTGAAACAAAGTCGACTTGATGAAACGTGAAACAAAGTCGACATTATGTAACGTGAAGCAAAGTCGACTCTTTGAAACGTGAAACAAAGTCGACTTGATGAAACGTGAAACAAAGTCGACATTATGTAACGTCAAGTAAAGTCGACTCTTTGAAACGTGAAGCAAAGTGTCGACTCTTTGAAACGTGAAACAAAGTCGACTTGATGAAACGTGAAACAAAGTCGACATTATGTAACGTCAAGTAAAGTCGACTCTTTGAAACGTGAAACAAAGTGTCGACTCTACGAAATGTGACACAAAGTCGACTCCATGAAACGTGAAACAAAGTCGACTCTATGAAACGTGAAACAAAGTCGACTTAATGAAACGTGAAACAAAGTCGACATTATGTAACGTGAAGCAAAGTCGACTCTTTGAAACGTGAAACAAAGTCGACTCTATGAAACGTGAAACAAAGTCGACTTAATGAAACGTGAAACAAAGTCGACTTGATGAAACGTGAAGCAAAGTCGACTCTTTGAAACGTTAAGCAAAGTGTCGACTCTACGAAATGTGAAACAAAGTCGACTTAATGAAATGTGAAACAAAGCCGACTTGATGAAATGTGAAACAAAGTCGACTTGATGAAACGTGAAACAAAGTCGACATTATGTAACGTGAAGCAAAATCGACTCTTTGAAACGTGAAACAAAATCGACTTAATGTAACGTGAAGCAAAGTCGACTCTACGAAATGTGAAACAAAGTCGACTCCATGAAACGTGAAACAAAGTCGACTCTATGAAACGTGAAACAAACTCGACTCTATAAAATGTGAAACAAAGCAGACATTATGAAACGTGAAGCAAAGCCGACTTTATGATTTGTGATTATTCATTCTCGTCCATGAGACATGGGATGCTCACGCGCCTCCAGTGCTGGATTACATTTATGTGATATTTGACACTAAAGGACCAAAACATTAAATGGGGGAAAATGACGCAATGATGTATAAAAACGTATTACCAGTATATGTAGGAGACTGATATATCAATCTTCGATTAGGATAAATTGATCTGGGAAACATACAGGTAATATATTCTACTTATGACCCCGAAATTTCAACACAGTAGTAATTTCAACGTAATGCATATTTTCGAAATATGCCAGCAATTATCATTCCAGCTTTGTATTTATACTGATTATACAAAGAGAAACCACTTAAAACGACTGTAAAAAGATACACAAGTAAATAACACACAGTATTCTAAACTGCTAAGGGCTTCAATTTTGAAATCTACACTTGGAGTCAACTCAAGAATATATAAGTTGGTCAAAACAAACATCAAAATATAGATGGTACTTTGTACAAACCCATCATCCAATGAATATCGTAATTTCCTTTTCAGAAGAACGTCAAATACAGGTGTATATTCTGTTATTGTCCTCGTATGTTTCACAATTTCTGAGGACGGAATCATACCGCGGAAAATGAAATAGATAAAGAGAGCGATTGTCCATTTCAATGCTTCCACGATAAATACACTCTTTTGCGTAACAAGATTGTAGTAAAACCGCGAAAATATTACCTTTGAAAAAATAAACTTTTACAGAAGACAAGAAAAAATAGAGTTAGGCCTTCACATGTCATCTTCAGAAACAGTATTGTGATTTGGTAGAACGACTATCAAGCTGAAACATTTGGTGATGATTGACCGAAAAATATTGCTGCGCGCGCCAATATCAAAGATTGAGGGGGATATTATCACAACTACTGATACAAAATTGTTGTTGATAAGTGTATTGCATTTGAGCAAACATTACTTTTTTCGTTTTTTTTTAAAGAAACTATCTGTA